TTCCTTAAAATTCCCTTTTCATTATTTTCTTCTATTTTTTTTTCTTGATCTAACCCTTGACCAAAGATCTTGCCACCAAACAGATTCATTATGGCCCAGTGGTGAAGAGTATAAGCTTTGAAGTCAGACAAAACTGGGTGTGACTCCTGGATCTGGTGGTCACTGTCTGAACTTGCTTTTCTCATCTGTAAAACGCAGATGCCAGATTCAATGAATGTAAAATGTTTAGCACATTGCCTGGCACTCAGTAAGCGTGGAAGAAGGAAGCCACTATTCCATATTCAAAAAACGCTATTGAGCTCCTACTATGAGTCATGTGCTCAATAACTAACTCAAAGTGAGCCTAGTCTTTTTGGGTGGGGATATCTGTTCACATTTTAATTACTATGAAGGAAATAAGCTTAGGTAGTTTTCAAAGTATGGTCTGCAGATCCCTGTGTTCCCTGGGTCAAAACCTTTTCACTGTGAGAATATTTGCACGAATGGTGCAGAAACAGCTGTGGGTAAACCTGTTGGTGCTTTACGAGGAATCAGGGCAGCGGCTGGAAGCTGTCCTAGTGGCCTGTGGGTAAAGTGAAGGTTCCTATGGCCGGCATCCTCACCTGAACCTAAACTACTTGATGGTGTAACTGGCCTGCTGCCAGGCTCCTGCTTCCACACCCATAGGCAATGAGCTATTATTGACTGAGTCACTAATAAAGAGCTCTGCCCAGTGCTCTGGGTGGAGGCGGAGACAAAGGAGGATTACACACCTGCACACTGTTGGATACAGACTTAATTCCAGTGCTTCACCTATCGGTGGAAGAACAAACCAGGTCATAAACCCTTTCACCCCAAGAACATTCCATTGTCATTCCTCAGTCTCACTGAATTTGTAGTGAACTTGCCTGGGGCTGAAACCCATTGGCCAGACATGGCCATTGCATTCTTTACTGTCATGTTCTCACAGAAAAAATAAAGGCCAGTTCTACTTTAGAATGTTCTTGATGAAGCAGTAAAAATAATTTTATTAAATCTCAACCTTGAAGACATGCTTTTTTTAGTATTTTGTCTGACAAAGTAGGGAGCACTCAAAAAAAAGTACTTTTCTGCTGTGCAGCGCAGGGGTTGTCCCCAAGAAAAGCATATGACTGATGCTCGAAAGGGTTGAGTTACCAGTTGAACTAGCTCCTTTTCAGGGCCCACCATTTTTTTTTTTTTAGATAATTATTTTTTATTGAAGGGTAGTTGACACACAGTATTACATTAGTTTCAGGTGTACAACACAGTGATTGAACATTTATATACATGATAATTCTAGCTACCAGCTATCACCATACCAAGTTGTTACAATATTTTGACTATATTCCTTATGCTATACATTACATCCCGGTTACTTATTTATTTTACAATTGGAAGTGTGTACTTTTTTTTGTTTTGAGGGAATCTCTCATATTTATTGATCAAATGGTTGTTAACAACAATAAAATTCTGTATAGGGGAGTCAATGCTCAATGCACAATCATTAATCCACCCCAAGCCTAATTTTCGTCAGTCTCCAATCTTCTGAAGCATAACGAACAAGTTCTTACATGGTGAACGAATTCTTACATAGTGAATAAATTCTTACATGGTGAACAGTACAAGGGCATTCATCACAGAAACTTTCGGTTTTGATCACGCATTATGAACTATAAACAATCAGGTCAAATATGAATATTCGTTTGATTTTTGTACTTGATTTATATGTTGATCCCACATTTCTCCTATTATTATTATTATTTTTATTTTTAATAAAATGCTGAAGTGGTAGGTAGATGCAAGATAAAGGTAGAAAACATAGTTTAGTGCTGTAAGAAGGCAAATGTAGATGATCAGATGATCAGGTGTGTGCCTATGGACTAAGTATTAATCCAGGCTAGACAAGGGCAGCAAGACATCCACGGATGCAGAAGATTTCTCTCAAAGCAGGGGGGGTGAGGTTCTGAGCCTCACCTCTGTTGATCCCCAATTTCTCACCTGATGGCCCCCCTGCGACTGTGCCTGTCTTAGGTTGTTCCTCCCTTGAGGAATCTTACCCGTCTCTGGCTAACCAGTCATCTTCCGGGGCCATACAGGGAAATGTAAAGTTGGTAAGTGAGAGAGAAGCCATATTGTTTGAAAAGGTTAGTTTTTTACTTCTTTGCATATTTATGCCCTGTGGCTTCTATCAGGGCCCACCATTTTTATCTGACAAACTAACTATAGTTATTCAGACAGGGCAGACGTTTTTTTCCAAAGTGAATAAAGGGAGCCTCTCATTTCAAGGAAAGCAACTGCCAGGATTTGTTGCCAAGGATAAAATTTGAAATTTCATGCAAAAGTTGAAATTTTGGAAAACTTGTATCAGCCACTGTGAGCTTGACAGTTTCCCAATTAGTTTCTGAGAGTGGTAGTGATATTAACCGAAGTGATTTTTAAGTATTGTAAAATTAAATGTGTCAACATTTGGAAGCTCTCCGTGACTCTGAATCAGTGTTTTCCAGATGACCAATGCATGATGTTACAAAATCATGTATTAGTAAAGGATCCATGGAAAGTGAAAGATACATTTTAAGATAATGGACTGTGGAGAAAGTGACGGTTCCTATGGCATGAAAAGGGGTTCTAATGTCAAAAAGGTTTAGAGCTGCTGATCTAGGATCTTTGTGTCATAAACTGTTCAGATAGTTCATGAATAATGTCATCTAAGCCTTAGGCAAGCCACTCCATTACTGCTCTCAGGGAGCCCAAAGCCTCTGGTTTATAAAAATGGGCTTGTCCTTCCCTCAGGGTATTTTTCCTCCCAGCGTCTCCTCTTCATTTCCAGGACCTGCCGTCAGCTGGACTGCCCTGCAACCTGCCAGCCTTGTTGGTAGGTAGGTATCTGAGCCCCTTGCTGATCCAGGAGTCTCTTCAGATGCCACATGGGGAAGAGCCCCTGGCTTTACCTGCCGCATCTCACCTTAGACTCAGACAACTGAGCCTTTCAGAAATAGAAAAGTTGTGTCTCTTCTCTAAAATTTAAATATCACCTGAAAGTCTGGAATCTAAATGCTACATGTGTGAACAAGGATGTAACACAAACTGACCAAGAGCCCAGCCAAAGTGCCATTTCAAATCAGGTTATTTTTTGTTGTGGTAAAATACATGTAACATCAAATGTACCATTTTAACTACTTTTAAATACAGTACAGGGACATTTAGAACATTCACAATGTTGTGCAACCATCCCCTGTATCTCGGTCCACAATACTTTGTTCCATCATCCTGAAAGGAAATCCCATACCTCACAGGCAGTCACTTTCCACCCACCGCTTCTCCCAGCGCCCGGTGAACACTAGCCTGTCTTTATGGGTTTACCTATGCTGGACATTTCATATAAGTGGAATCATACAATATGTGGCCTTTTGTATCTGGCTTCTCTCTCTTAGCATGATGCTTCCAAGGTTCATCCATGTCATAGCATGTAACAGTGGTTACCCTCGTCCATTTTAGTGGTTAAATAATATTTAACCATGGAACTACCACATTTTGTTTGCCCACTGTCACTCGATGGACATTTATTTGGGTTATTTTCACCTTTTGGCTGTTGTGAATAATGCTCTTATGAACATTCATGTGTAAGTTTTTGTTTGGCCATCTGTCTTCAATTCTTTTAGGTCTATACCTGTGAGTGGAATTGCTGGGTCATATGACAATTCTATGTTTAACTATTTGAGGAACCACTAAACTATTTTCTACAGCAGCTGCACCAACTTTACAGTCCCACCAGCAATATAAAAATGAGTGTTCCAACTTCTGTATATCCTTGCCAACCCTTGTTGTTTTCCATTTTTTGAACTATAGGCATCCTAGTGGTTATGAAATTATATCTCACTGTGGTTTTGATTTGTATTTTCCTGGCAGCTAATGATGTCGACCACTCAGGTGCTTGTTGACCATTTGTATGTCTTCTTTGGAGAAATGTCTGTTCAAGTGCTTTGCCCACCTCTTCATTGGGTTGTCTTTTGATTGTTGCTCTGTAAGTGTTCTTTATATATTCTGGCTGTTAGACCCTCATCAGTATATTGTTTGCAAATATTTTCTCCCATTCTGTGGGTTATTTTCCTCCTTTCTCAATATCCAGTTAGATTTTGAGATTTGTTATTTCTTCAGTACCTACATTCCTGGGATACTGGCCCCAGAGGGCAAGACCTGCTTTCTCAGTTCTCCTGCCAATGATCCTGTCCCCCAGCTTCAGCCTGCCGCCTCCACCTCCACCTCCCATGTCAGCTCCGCCAGCTGGCATGGCTTCCTGGGGCTCCATGTTGAGCAGGATGCTGGCGTGGCTCACGGGAAAGGAGGACATGATTTTCAGGGATTCTGCCATGTGTGCAGAAAGGGAGTGGGTGGCCCCCCTTCCTGATATTGTCACCGCTGTCCTTTATGTGGGAGCCTCCATAGACAGGTGGCTCTTCTCTTTCCTTTCCTTCTCAAACCCCTTGTCTCAATATTTTTTTATCTGCTTTCACTCAGATGATGTTGCTGAGTTTTAAATCTTATCCTCAATTTTTTTATTCCTGGTCTTGGCTCCCTTCCTCTTTGCCTCCTCCACCCCCAGTGTCTATCCCCTTGGCAGAAAATGGAGGACAATTTGGGAAGAATCAGGTGTGATGTGAAGGGAAGGTGCCAGGGCTCCATGCCCTGGACTCCTGTTGTCACTGAGCCCCTCAGAGGAGATTGCTTTTAGTCTTCGACACTCAGATGCTGCCCACCCTGGTGTGAGTGCCAAGGTCTGTGTGGGGGCCCCTACTGCCTGTTCAGCCCCAAGTGGTGTATTTTTAGCTCAAGGCTCCCGTCCATGCTGGAATGCATGTTTCCTGGGATGGGGCCACTTTTCCGCCCATGGTCCCCTCTCAGTGCCCAGACGCTTCCATCTCCAGGCTTTTGTTCAAGCTGGTCCCTCCATCTGGAATGTTCCTCCCAGTCTCCTCTGATTAAACTCCCCTCTGCCTTCACAGCCTGGCATCAAAGGCACCTGCATCAAGAAGACGCTCCATCTCCACAGCTGGAATCAATTTCTCCCTGGACTATGACTCTGTCCCTCCGCTGGTTAAGATGACCGCATTTTCTGAACTGAAATTGGGATTCATGCTCTCTCATTAGTACAACTGCTCTTTGGAGAACAGGTGCAGAGAATATGAAAGTGCTCAACCAGGAATCCTGGAACATATGATCACTACGCAAGTTGTAGGCCTCACGTTCCCAGGTCATACTGCAAGTCAGGACCAGGCTCCAATGGTCAGACCATCTCAGCCCCGTGCCTAGTGGGTGGTAATACTTTAATAAATCACAGTTTTTATTTTATTGTGTTTGCTTGTTTGTTTGTTTCTAATGCACCTTACCTTGGGAGTATCTTGAGCATAGAACTCTGAGAAATAACAAGTTATTTTAAGCCAGTAAGTTTAGGGGCTGTTTGTTACACAGCAATGGACTGACAAGGGAAGCTCTGATGTATCTGAGAGATATAAGCGATGACAATAGTTACCAATGCAAGCTGAGTGCCTGCTACATGCCAGTTTGTGCTGGCAGCCAGTATACGCAATCTTGTTCAATTCTCACAGCAAACCCCTTCTCCAATCTTCAGAGGCTCCGAGAATTATAGTCACTTGTCTAAAGACGCACAGTAAAAATGAGGACAGAGACAGAATTCACCTTAGGTCTGTCTGACTCCAAATCCTGCACTCTTAACTATGGCTCCATGGCAGGGGCACTTCTGGGGGAAGCACAGAGACCCAGTGCCTGCCTCTGGGTTTAGCTTGGACAGGCCCCACTGAGAAGGTGAGCCGAGGTGAGCTGGCTGGGCTTCTGTGCCTTGTGGAGCCAGCAGACAGTGTAGACGGCCGTGGTGTGGGCAGCACTCAGGCTCAGAGTGGCTGAAGAGCGGCTTGGCCTTGAAGCCAGACAGAGGTCACACGAGAGGCCTCCAGGGCTGGCCCAGGCTCTGCGCTTGGGCCAGCTCTGTAAAGGCCGACTCTGTGTTTGTGTTCTCAGTGTCAACGTGTCCCCCACTTCCCTTCCCTGCAGTGGGACCTGATTTGCCAGAGCTTTCCGGGGTCCTTTCAGAAAGGGTCTCCTAACCCCACTTGTGGGATAAGCATCTGGCAGCCCGCAGTGATGGGGGAAGGGCCTGGAGCCTCCACTTACTGATCTGTAAAATGGAGGTGATGATAGCCTCCAACTCACAAAATCATCTTGAGTGGCTGTGATACCCAGAAAGTGCTGCCAGCACAGCCAGCCCCACAGGTGGACACTCTCTCTTCCAGCCCTTCTCCTCTGCCACCAGCTCCCTGCGTGAACCCGTCTGCTTTTTAGTTTTTGCACCTGAAAGTGCTCAATAAATGGTAATTGTTAGTGATGGAAGGATGAAAGGAACCCAGCAAAAACTTTGGCTCTCCAGAGTGGAGTGACTAACGGGAGCTCTCCTGCTCTTTTGGAGGCCAGGCCTGGACACAGCACCACCAGAGGTCAAATTCCTTCTCTGAGTCTCAAATTCTCTCTCCCTTCATTTTGTTCTTCTTTCATTCCATAAGTTCTCTTGAAGCACTTACACATTGTATGTTAAGTGCTGGTTATTCATTAAAACACGAATAACTCGTGGTTCTGTTTGGAAGAGCGCCTAGTCTTGTAGAGGACACAGACGTATAGAAATGACAACCACCAGCAAGGCTGGGATTGTGATGGAGGGAAGGTGGGAGGGAGGTGCTGGGGTGGGGGTTAGATCAGAAGAAACCACAGCAAAGGACAGAGAATGATGCCAGGTCATAAAAGGAATCAACTTTCCAAATGAGTTCCCTCCAAAATAAAAGGAGTTGAAGTTGACCAATGACAGGGTTTTCAATATTCCACATGAAATTAATGCAAAGGAGATCCATATTCAGCCCTAATATGGTTTACAAAGTAAATCATGGAGAAGGAAATACATTTATAAGTACTATACAAAAGTATTAAATTTCAAAGTAACAGAAAACTCATCACATTTTGGAAACAGGAAAATTATATATACATAAAATTTGCATTAGGCCTCAAGGGATGTTTGAAGTTCCCCTTCTGGGTCAGTTTGGGTATCTGGAGAGATTTCTCCACTCATAAGTAGAGTTGCAAGTTTCCTATAATGTAAAAGGAAAAAGGTAAAAATGAAATAAATTCTTGCCCACTGGTTCCTGCCAACTCTTCCAACTTTGCATGGCTTTGTCCCCTAGTTCTTTACTTTCTTTCCATATTCCAGCTCTGAGTACTTGGTGTTTCATTTCTCCTTGAATGCCCTCACCCTCTCCCCATCACAGAGAGTCTCTTGGGGCTAAGTAACCCCGGGAGCCCTGGTCCAGCCTTCACGTTCTTCTTCCTCCCGCTGTCCTCTCTGGGTCCTGAGTTCTGGGAGAGCTTGGACAGGCTCCTTCAGTGTCCTGGAGAAATCCCAGGTGCCAGCCCTGGCTGACAGCCTCAGTCCACAGACCTGCTCCAGCATCTTAGCCTTGCTTGCCTCTAGGAGGGCTCAAACATCCAAGACAGGTGCTGCTGGGTTCCAATCCTTGCTTCATCACCCGGGCCATTGGTGACCTCGTCTAAGGTCACTTAACTTCTCATCTCCATTTCCTTATCTGTAAAGTGGTGTCCACCCCGGAGAAGTGCAGAAAGAAAAGGATTTCCTGAATCCAGGATGTGATTTGTATGTAGCCTGACCCTTGGGCTCTCTGGGAGAGAAGCATCCTGCCATTGAACTCCAGGGACCAAGCCGCCCTTGCTGTCCCCAGAGGGACCACTCCTCTTCTCCCTCTGCGTGAGGAGCAGAGCACCTGTTGACTTCCCCCCAAGCCTGCATGGTTATTATTTCCTCTTGCCTTCCGGAGCACTCAGGGCTGTCCAAGCTTTTCATCTTTTGTTTTCTCTTGTCAGATAATAGAAAAGGTAAGCCTCTCATTCTTAACGAGTCCCAGAGTCTGTTACCTCCCAGTCACAAAGGTCAAGGGGGAGACACCCATTCCTCCCTTTAACAAACCAACCCTTATTCATAGAGCACGTACTGTGTGCCAGGACCTGTGCTGAGTGCCAGCCCTAATCCTAACCGTAGTGAGGTGCATGTGGGTTAACTTTCCTTCCAGGCTTGGCTGTGTGGCCTTGGGCAAGTTACTTAACCTCCCAGCGACTCGTTTCACACCTGTGAATTGGAACAATACCATCTGCTCAGCGCCAGGATTAGACGAGACAAACCACTCCAGGCCGTCTGCACAGGTCAGGGCCTTCCTGGTATTTACCCCTGTGTGCGCAGGCACAAGTGCCCGAGGGGGGGGGCGGGCATGATTGGATTCCAGCCCCCTAGCTACAGTGCTTTCTTTGATTTTTCAAATTGTTTTTCTAATTGCCAACGTATCAGAACAAAAGGTGAGAATCCTCCTTAGCTGTCCAGACCTTGGATGGACCTCAGGCCGCGAGGTAAGCGAGGGCAGAGTGCATTCTCCAGACCTTTTGTTTTGTGTTCACACAAATACACAAACACTCAAGAGGAGTGGCTTATTATTTTCCATTTTACAAAAAAAGGGATAAAGTATAGTGTGTAACCTTGTTTTTGAATGAACAATATATTATTTTAGTTTCCTTTCCGTGCCTATGTCATGTGCATGTTTTAACGAAATGCGGGCTCGCGGTGTGTTCGGAGGCGCTGCAGTTCCAGTGGGAGGGGGCGAGGCCGCGCCCGCCCCGGGCCCCACTATCCCAGCGCCCCCCGGCCGGAGCGCCCGTCCCCCGCTCTCCCAGCTCCCAGCCTCCTCCCCTGCCCGCTGCCTGCTCGCGCACACCCCCCGACCCCCGCCAAAATTCTCTCCCCAGGCCCCTGTCCGGGCCCCAACTCAGTCCCCCCCTTCTTATCCCCCTTCCCCGGCTCGCGCCCCGAGTCTCCGCCGCCCCTCCCCCAGGCCCTTTCCCCTTCCGGGGCCCTCCCCGCCCCCCTTTTCTCGCCCCCTCCCCCGCCCCCTCCAGGGACCCCGGCCCCTCCTCGCGTCCCCCCCGCCCCAGCCCCCACCGGCCCGGGGGGCGCGGCAGGGGGCGCTGCGCGGCTGAGGCGCGGCGGCGGGCGGTCGCGGCGCGGGGAGGAGGCCGGAGGAGGCGGGGGCGGCGGGAGGCGGGGGGCGGGGAGCCGCGCGCGGGAGGGAGGCGAGCGGCGAGACAGGCTCCGAGGCTCCCGCGAGCCAGCGCCGAGCGAGCCCGGGAGGTGGGGAGCGAGCGAGCGAGCAGCCGCGCCGCCGCCTCGCAATCCGCCGCCATCCCGCCGCCTCGGCGCCCGACCGCCGCCCGACCGCCATCGCCCGGCCCAGTCGCGCCCGCGGAACCAGACCAGGTGGGCCGGGGCGCGGGTTGGCGCGGGCCGGGCCGGGGCGGCGGCGGCGGGCGCGGCGTTAAGATGGAGGCGCCGGGCGCCGCGGCCGGGCTTTTGTCTCGGTGGCGGCTGACTGACGGCGGCGGCGGCGGCCCCCGGGCCCGGCCAGCCTTTGTCCGCTCGCGCGCCGGGCTCTGGCCGCCCGCGCCGCCGGCCGGGCGGGGGCTGCAGGGCCTGGGAGGCGGGCTGCGGGCCGCCCGGGCCCTCTCGCCATTGTTGTGGCGGCGCCGCGCGGCCTCGGCCCGGCGGGGTCGGGCAGCTGCTCGGCGGGCGCCCGGAGGCCGCGGAGCCGCCTTCCGCCCGGGCTCCCGCAGCCGAGGATGCCTCTGCGGTCTGGGGAGACGTGCACGGCGGGCCTGCTCCCCGCCCCATCCTAATTACTTTCAAAAGCACCAGCCCGAGGCGGAACCCGGGGCCGCGGCGGCTCTCGGGGCCGGGGCTCGGGGTGGCGGTCGCCGAGCGGACCCCCGAGCGTCCCCGGGGCTGGCGGCCTGTGCGTAGGGGGCCGGGGGCTAACAGCCGCCGAGGGTCGCGGGTCGTTTGCGGGAACGAGAGGATCATCTGCAAAATACTGAATGCTCTGTTGCTGCAAATGTTTAATAATAAACAGGATGTCGCTCCTCGGAGCCTGCCAGATGGGTTTTTTTCTTCCTTCTGTTTTCTTTTTTCTCCCCCCTCCCTTCTAAGTAAGACACACAGCGCTGTGAAATCGTGGGCCTCCAAAGAGTGGGTTTGCCTACATTAAATCGGAAGGTTTTTTTTTTTTTTCTCCTTTCTCCCTCTCTTTTTCTAAATGTCGTGGGAGGCCCGAGCCCACCTTTGGGCAAGGAGGAGGTGATTTTCAAGAGAATAGTTAGCTTGAAAGAAGTGGGCGAAAGCGGGTGACTCTCTGGAGTGTGTCATTTGCTAAATGGCCACCTGGGAGAAACCTTTGGCAGCCTGTGGTTTACGGGGTTGTTAAACAGCCCCTGAGATTTTTTTTTTCTTCACGGTTTTGTGTGCGTTTTATGTGGCTTTTTACATTATCATCCAGTTTGGTTTTTGTAAGCATCCATTTGAAGTCTTAGCTTGGTTTCTCCGAACCCAACTGCAGCCATTTAGCGATGTCTGTTCAGGGCTCTGTGGTGTCAGGTGGGCCTGGCCAGGCCCACGAGGGGCAAATCCTACTTGGGTCACAGAACTCTCCTGGGGTTCTCAGAACCTTCGTTGGCATAAACAGGGACATTGCTTGTTCTATCTCTTAGTGTTGGAAGGTGTCATGGTGCTAATGGCTGTAAGCTGGTTATATGTTCATTATTCTATCGTAAGACCCAGAAGCAGGCCTGGCATGCAGTTGTTGTTCAGTAGTTGTTTGTCCTAAGGCTGTTTGTATGTCTGCCATCAAATCCTTGGATGGAAGTTAGCCACTTGTGGTACCACCCGTAGGGCTGTGCCATCTGGCAGATGCCACAGGTGCTGGGCTAAAGCTGGGACAGGAGAAGGAATTTAAGGCACACACATCACTGGGCACTTGCTTTTTCAGTGGTGGGCCTCAAGAACTAAATAGACCTGGGCTGTGTGGTGATAAGGGCCTTGTTTTTGGATCTGGGGTGCCTGCCTTTTGCGAGGTTGTTCTTACAGCTCTGATTAAAGGCAGAGTTGGAACAGTATGAGATACTGAGGACAACACGCAGAGGCCCAGGGAAGTCCTGCCTCTTGAGGGCAACTCCTGTCCTTTGGGAATGGCCAATAATCACTTGGGGAGCTTCTGCTTGTTCGGGCAGGTGTGTCTCTGGGAGCCTTGATTTTGGTCCTCAGTGGGTTTACCTTACAAGAAAGGCTCTGAGCCTCAGCTCCTGCGTCTGTATAATGGGAATAATTAGGCCTTGCCTTAGGTATCTGTGGGGCTCCCCGGAGCCTCATGTAACTATTTGTAGCAGTGTTTCCATCCCTAGGAGGGTGATGAAAATGTATGTTGTTTTCATTGGTTACCTTACCTAGTTCTCTGTTATTTTTTTTCTCCTAATTCCTGATCTTTTTCTCCTGGATGATGGAACTGTGGCCTCCCCACCCAGATTCTATCTCCAGCTAGTATTTTGGTATCACAAGTACCACTCAACTGCCTGGAGCACCAAAATGGCCTAGAAGATCTGGGCTGCTCTGCCAAACCTGGGTGTCTGCGGTGTATTGGAGACGGTAGGAAGGGCTGAGGGTAATACAGGAAGACTGACTGCAGTCTTGGCTGCAGCTGAGGGTTGAGACCGAGGTTACCTCTGGGCCAAACTTGTGCTGGTTTGAAAACCTCTCTGGAGGCACTCTGCTCAGACGTTCGGGGCCTCTGCAGCCTAATGGGAAATTTTTTTTGTTCATTTTGGCATTCCCACAACCATCTTTCTTTTGTTTTATTTTGTTCTGTCTTTTTAAACCTCCTCAGAACCTCCTCCAGGCCTTCAGGCTGTGGGATGGAGACATCTTAGCCAGGGTCCTGTCTTCCTTCCAGTTTTCCCTGAGTCCCACCTCTTCACCCCTGCTTTCAGTCTGATTTCATTCCTGCCCAGCCCGGCTCTGGACTGTTTGTTAGCTGGTTGGTTGGGGAAGGAGGTGACTCCACTGCCCCGCCCACTAAACCTTTTTACCTGTGAATTTCAGTTAACCTTGGGGCACCCTAATGTTGATTGCATGGTGGAGGGGCCTTGTCTCACCCTGCTGTGGGGGACTGCTGTTTCCTGCAGGGCTCTGGGTCCTCTCCAGTGTCTTTTGAGCGGAAATGGGTACAAAGAAAGCCTGGGGAAGGGAGAGCCAGCGAACCCCGGGAGAGTGGAATTTCAGGAATGGCGAGTCAGTAGTTCCAGCTTGGTCTAGTTGCCTGGGTCCTGACGGAGGGGTTTATGCGACACCTTTCAGTTGGCCGGTTCACGGTTCTCCCACCCCCTGTTCAATTTCAGTTCCCTTTCTTCCTGAAGGATTATTTTACTGTACTTTCAAGATTTTGTTACTTTTTTTTTTCCGCCTTGCACAAAGTACTGACTCATGTTGCTAATGGCTGTAGGCTGGTTATATATGCTCATTATTCTCCCTTTTAAGCTTGATCATTTCTATGTTGGTTTCTATTTCAAACCAGAATAGGCCAGGTGGGCCTGTGTATTTCTAAAGTTGATAATGAGGCTTCTCTACTGTCAGACGTAGATATCTTGTTATGGGCGGGCAGGTGTTAAGCAGGAGCTGTCTACACTAGATTTTAAAGCAATGCTTTCCCCTTGAAAAATAAAATTTCTAGCAGAGATCTGTTGGGCTTTGTGCTCTGAATCTCATAAATTACTCAAGGCTAACTAGACTGCCTTCTTTTCAAATTGTAACTCAAATTCTTGTCAGAGTTTTTTCTGGGGCTGGTATAGCCCTAGGAAGCTTGGATCTATCATTCTGACAAAAGTAAAGGCATTTATTTACCTGTGGTGCTGGAGATAGGAGAGGGGAATGGGAGATAGTGAGCTTTCTGGGGAAATTAAATCATTCATGACAAGCTTTTAGGTTGAAAAGGTGCCCTGTGGACCTGGGTCTCCTCACCTGGGAGCTTGAAGACAGGGGCTTTGCAGTCGTGGAAACTGCTGCTATCGGTGGGTGGCACGTGGGAAACTACCCTAGACGGGATGCCTTCCCTTAGTGTCTGGAGTCAGAAGTCTTGTTGAGCCATGTTCTTAGTTGTGCTTGTTGGTTTTTCCCGTGTGGCCCGAGCGGAGGGCTAGGTTGTTCCTGTGAGGTGCTGTGTGTCTATGGGCAAAATGAAGTCTCCCTTAAATCCTTCGTATTCTCTCAGACTGCCTCCTGCTGCCCCCACTGTTGCTCCTGGTTCTGTAGCTCTGCTCTATGTCCTTTCTACTTCCTTTTCAGGGCAGCTATCAGCCTTTTTTTTCTTGGTGGCATTGCTAAAGCAGTGTTTATTACTTTTAAAAGTCATTCTCATGTAACAGATCCCCCTTCAGCATCTACTCTTTGCCAGGCACGGTGGACAGCCCTCTAAGTACAGTTTTCCACATGCATGAAAGTAATGTTTTTCACTGGGGGAAAAAAAAGGAAAATGCTGAAAAGAATAAAGGCAAAAATTAAAATACAAATCACCTGTAACCTCCAGCGATAACTATAGCAGAGAATGGTGTGGTTCTTTCCTTTCATTGCTCTTTCAAAATCAGGAAAGTAGTATATATACCACCCACAGTTCATACACTTCCTCCCAGTGTCATGGTGTATTTCCCTAAGTAATGGAAAACATGACTTTCTGATTGTAATTGTTATTATATGGCTATGCCATGGTTTATTTAATCCTTTATAATGACATTAGATTGTTTCCCATTTTTCCTTCATAGGAACAAAATTTTAGGGAGCACTCTTTATGTAAGTCTTGGACCCTGTTGCTATTTCCCGTAAGTGGAATTTCTAGTTTGAGAGCACAAGTTTCTTCTAAGGTTCTCTCTGGTTCAGTGTGGGTTTTCTCCTTCAGCTGTTGAGTTCAAGGTGGCTGCCTTCATGGGCCATTAAGTTCTGAGTGTCTCAGTCCTGGCTAAACCTCTTACACTATTTACAGGTTTGGGTTTGAACAAGTGTCTTGACTTAAGCAGATGTGGAGGTCCCACTTGCGTTCCTCAGGGCTAGTGGGGAGAAGGCAAGCACCTCCTTAAAGAAAGAGGCCTTTGGGGGCCCCTCAACCTAACTTAGTCATTACCCTTCAGAATTCTTTCCTAGTTCTTATTGCTTTTCTTTATAGCTCTTTTCACAACTTTAAATAGTTTTTGAAAACAATTACTTCATTGTGGTAAAATATGCATAACAAAATTTACCATTTTGACCGTTTTTTAAGTGTACAATTTTGTGGCGTTAAGTAAATTCGCATTGTGTGAACCATCACCACCATCCATCTCCAGAACTTTGTCATCTTCCTAAACTGAAACTCCTTCCGCATTAAACACTAACTCCCCCTTCCCCTCCCC